CCCCCGGCTGTGTATCCCGGACCAAGGGCGGGGGTCCGGGCTGGGCGGCTGGAGCCCACCCGGGGCCAGGGGGAGAAAGTAGGGGGCGAGGAGAGGCGGTGGCAGTGGCCGGAGGAAGGGCCGGTCACAGACGGGAAGGGCGATGAGAAGAGGGCTCGGCGGAGGGTGTCGCCAGGGGGGACGCTGGAGGGAGACTCCGAGGCCCTGCTGTCGGGGTCAGGCACTCTGCTGCCGCGGGCCGTCGCTGAGGCCGCCTGGGCTGTCCCTCCGTCCGGGGCGGGCACGGCGGCCAGATCTCCCGGCTCGCAGGCGGCAGGGCTGGGAAGGGGTTTTAGAGGGGCGCAAACTCGAGCAGCCCGCCCTGCTTGGGAAGGCAGCGGGTTAAAGACGCTGCGAGCAGAACCGCAGGGCTTCTCCGGGCGGCGCGGGCCGGTTCGGGGGCAGAAGGGACAGAGGCGGCGAAGGGCGCAGCGCAGGGGGAACGGGACCTGCACGCCTCTGGTGGCGCAGGGCGCGCGGGCTCCGGAGGCCTGGCGTGCGGCGTGGGCTGCGCTGGAGCGCCCGGCCAGCCTCCTGAGCTGCCCTCTGCCCCCTCCACCTGCAAATGGGTTGGAGACCCTGGCAAAGTCAAAGGCCTCAGTGGGGTGAAACCCAGCTCCTGGCCCGCATGATCCCGCACGAGACGCGCAGGGCAAGCGTGGGGTCCAGTGTCCAGCCCGGTGTCACTTTGGAAGAGCTGTCTCTATTGGCACCAAAACCTCCAGAAAACTCCACGCACGGTGTGGCTTCCTCACCCTTCCCGACTGGTAGCGCACCCTCAGGAACTTTTCCTGGCGTTAACCATGCCTTAACACGGGACTCCAGGTGTATGCCCGCGTCCCTGAGTCTGCACCAGACCTGTCACTCAGCTCATCCCAGGTGACATGGGGCTGGATATTTCCTCCTTGAGGTCTACACGAGCCTAAACTTTACTGGAAGTTTAAAAATGAGGCTGATCTCTTTATGGGTCACTATTTGCCGGCTGCTATTTTGTCTTCAAATTTGGAACTTGTGGAACCAGGCATTCTGTGATTTTCAAAAACATAGCCAATGTCAGATGCTCAGAAAATAGACAAAGTAACCAGACCCAGAAACAGCTAGCGGCAAGGCCTGGGCAAAGTGGTGGTGGGAGCCCCGAGAGGCTAAAGCAGGCCGCAGGAAGCCTGCCCTCGCCCTCTTCCTTGGTCCAGGCCTGGGCTCCCCAATGTGTATTTTAGCCAAAATCAAACTGGGACCTATGTACTTGCAGAGGCAGAGGGCGAAGGGAAGTCTGGCCTGGCTTGTCACTAGGGAAAGATGGCCAACTCTGAGGAATGAACACCCGGTGTCCCCAAGTGTTAGCAAGGGCTAGGCACAGAGGCAGGGGCTTCCTTGTCTCAGGTTTTGGTGCTGGGGGCTGCTCTTGCTGCGTGCACCGGCAGCAGAATTAATTGCCTGTGTAGACACTTTTAGCTCCAAGAAAATGCACTGTGAAATATTCTTTTTAAAGATTCTACTAGGGAAAATTTAAACACACGAAGAGTAGGGAGAATAATATTCCGCATGTCCATGTGCCTATCGCCCAGCTTCACCGATTGAAGAGTAGGGAGAATAATATTCCGCATGTCCATGTGCCTATCGCCCAGCTTCACCGATTCTGCACATTCCGCCGTTTCCCCCCACAGCTAATGATCAATCGCAACAGTTACCACTATTCCTAGCCTTGGAGGCTGGACCCACAACAGAAAACAGAGCCCTGAAGAAACTGCTGCCTAGAAGAGCAGGGTGGGGCCGGAGAGACCAGCCCCAAGAGCTAGGGGAGGGCTGGATGAGCAGGCCTAAGACCTGTGGCCACAGCGAGCTCAGGGCCCAGGCCAGCAGCAGCGCCCCAGTGCAGTGTGCTACAGGGCTGAAGGGATGCCGGTTATTCCCCTGGTTTGGTTCCCAGCAGATGCCACAAGAAGGGAGCTCGGATTCCTGGTGGCCTTCTAGTGGTTACAGAGCAAGGCTGGGCCAAGGAAGCTGGCTGGGAAGCACCCCCACGCCCAGGTGGAGGCAGCCCTCAAGGTGGCAGAAAGTGACCCAGGAACAGCTCCTGAGACCCAGGCCTGGCGCTGCTCAGGCTTCGCTGCTGTGCACATGGCATCTGCCAGGGGCATGAGGACATGCAAAAGGCAGAGGGCTTAATTAGGGACAGTGTGTCGTGAGGGAAAGCGATGAGAACAGCAACCTGCCCACTTGATAACTGAGCACACCTCAGAGTTTCAAGGAGTAACCAGGCTTAGTGGGGAGTGGACCCCAAAAAGAAATGGAAGTTCGGAGGCCAGCCAGGGAGAGGACGTTGAGGAAGGATGGTCGACAGTTACAGAAGGAGGTTGCAGAAAGCAGAGCGATGTGATTGGGACAAAATGACCGTCACCTGGGGCTGGGAAAGTAGCTGAGAAAACACACACACATCACATGTGACAGGCCTGGTTTCCCAGAGATGGCGAGGGGCCTGTTCTAACGAGTAGTTGTTGCTTTTAGAAATAATGTTCCCTCGTCCCCCTTTCCCATCTCTGGAGAATTGGAGGGTCTGGTAAGTTGGGCAATAGCAAGTGTCCAAGAGGACCCTTGCCCTGGGCTCTCAGGCCTCCATCAGGAGTTGCCCGGGAAATTGTGGTAGGCTACCTGGCAGCCAGCACCGGCTGGGCTCCAGTCCGCTGGAGACGGTGAATCAGAGACGAGAGAAGTCTCTAGGCAGAGGACTAGAGCTGGGCTTTGAGCGCGTGGGCTTTGAGCGTGCCAGGAGCAGAGGCCTCACGGAGTCAGGCGCGCCTTGCAGCCTGCTGGGGGTCTACTCCAGAGTGGGAACCAAAGATAATCTCCGGAGAGATGGGGAACCTCTGAGACACCTTTTACTCTTCCAGCTGTGTGGAAACAGCTCCTTCCAAAATTTTCTTTGGGGCTGAAATTAGTAAAACAGACTCCATTTACACTTGCAATTTCAGATCATTAATACTGCAAATTTTCTAATTACTACCTGGGCCAACCTTGGCAAAGAGGAACTAAGTATCCTGTCCAAAGTGAGGTCTTCCGCTGATCTTCCGCACCCCCACCCCCTGAAAGTCTGTTTCCAGGTTGGTTGAGATTCTCTCCACTTGCCTCTCTGTAAAACGACTTTTCTCCACTACCGATTCTCCCAGCCCGTAAATTTCTCAGACTTCTAGGTTCAAATACCTTAAGGGTTTAAAGAAACGGTTCTTTAACACTGTTAGGAATGCAGTGGCTAGTGGAGGAGTGTGGAGTGTGAAGGGGGGGTGGTGTTAGATCGGGGGCAGTCACGTAAAGGAAAGAGGAACAGGTCATAAAACAGGCAGACCTACTCCTAGGAGGACGGTGCATCCCGCTGTCATTTCTTAATCTGAACTTCTGCAAACTCTTTAAAAGAAAAAAAAAAAAAAAAGCCTGCCTTCCACGTTCCCAGCCTCTAAATTAGTGAAACCAGATTGTCCTAATAAGACCTTTTGTTGGAAACACATGTAGTCATAAAAAGGTAGACGGAAAGTCAATTAGACACGCGCGCGCACACGTACACACTCACAGGCCGGCGCTAAGTGTGCGCGGGGCCCAGCTGGGGCCCGGCCGGGGCGGATGCAAATGCAGCACTGAGGCCCGGGAAATTGATTTGTCACAAAGGAGAGGTGTAAACGCGGTGCAGAGGAATCGCCCGCCCA